TATTTGCCCTTTCAGGGAAATATCATATTTATTAGGTGAGAAGATGAAGTGGATTAGGGTGAATGTTTCCTGTATTAGTTGTTAGTACTTTTGTTTCTTTTTTCCTTAGGTATTTTATAGGGACATAACGTGTATGTGGTTTTAGCTATTTTTCTACCCTTACGAGTAAATTGTCTACTTCATTTGTTGGAACAATTAGACTTCAATGCTCGGTCCATAATTCCCACCTATGTATTTCAGTAATTTTATTATTCTCCTATCCTCTTAGGTATGTCTAAATGGTTGTATGTAATCTTGATTATTGACACGCAATAATTGTATCCCGGGGATATCATGAAAAAATTATTGAAGAAATTCAAGATTTTCACTTCACTGTTAAAGAAGCAGTCAATTAGAATATCAAGCAGGAAGCATTTCGGAGTTATGTTTGATAAGTAAAATACTATTATATTATTTATTATTTGTCCGTTGGGTCCCTAGTGGAACATAGGGCTTCAGTAACGCGTCGCCATTTCACTCTGTTCTCTGCAGTCTTTTCAACCTCGCTCCACCACTGCCCACAAATTTTCATTTCTTACCCGCTCTATCTCCTCCATGTCACTCTCGGACGACCAACTCGTCGTTTCCCCTTTGGGTCCCACTCGAGTGTCTGGCCTGGCACGTGATGTACTCGATCGGTCTTCTCAGTATATGTCCAATCCATCTTCACTTTCTTCTGCATATCTGTTGGGCGATGGGTTCTTGATTGGTTCGTTGCCCGGTCAGAGTCAGTTCCCCGTTGCTTATGCTTATTATTCTGGCCATCTGGTCTCCATCTTCAGTATCGAGTGAGCGTAAGCGGCAGCTGTTGATGTGGTGTATGTTTGTAGTTTGTTGGAAATGCTTTTCGTGATGCTCCAAGTCTGTGAACCATCACATAGAAGCACTGACTTGACTGAGTTAGTGTTGAAAATCCGGATCTTGTTCTTCATGCTGAATGGAGTGGAGTTGATCTCCACACTGATTATTTCGGGTTAATGAAGACCTGTCTTGCCATCTCTCCGGTCTTGGCTTTGACGTCCTCATTTGTGCCTGTGTCACCTGTAGTTGAAATGATGCTGCCTAGGTGGTAGGTGAAAGAGACTACTTCCTTTAGGTTTCTCCCGACATTAGACATTAGACATAAATCATCATTGGCGAAATCCAAATCTTCTCCTAGGGTCATTTCATCGGTCCAGTCAGCGTACCCTCATCTTCTCGCTCCTCACAGCTGTCTGTTGCAAGATCCAGTTCAGTGTGATAGTAGACGGGAGCGTTGTGTTACTCCTGTCTTCACTTCAAAGGTGTCATTGAGGTCTCCATTGTGAATCACTTGGCATGTAGCATCTTCATACAGCTGTTGAGTAAGGTTGATAAAGGTTTGTGACACTAAAACCGCAGCGTTGAAGCAGCTAGCTGTCTGCCAAATTACTTCTCAATCGACTCTGTCAAAGGCATTTTCAAAATCGATGAAGTTGAGGTGGAGAGTTGACTGTCATTCTATGCTCTGTTCAATAATGATGCGTAGTGTAGCATTGCAATTTGATCCGCATATGATTTGTTTCTCCTGAAGTCAGCCAGCAAACTGTTCCTGGTCGAGAGCATTTTTCAGTCTCTCCAGGATGATGCGGCATAATATTTTGCTTGAGTGGACAGGGACAGGAGCATGATTCCGCTCCAGTTCTTGCAAACACTTAGGTCTCCCTTCTTTGGGAGTTTGACCAGGTAGCCCTTCTTCCAACCGACAGGCAGTTACCTTTGCCTCCTTCCTTCCAAACCTTCTGCAGTAGTGGTGTGGTGTGGTGTGGTGTTAGCATGTGCGCTGCTGTTGTCTCTGCTTCAGTTTTCAGTGCTTCTGGATGGATTCCATTTGGTACTGCTGCTTTCCCGAATTTCAGCAGCTTTATGGCGTTCAGGAATTTAATTCATCTTTTGTCGGGAGGCTTGTGTTCACTGTTAGTTCTGTCTGAGCTGCTGGTGGTATTTCTGGACGAGTTAAAGTTGGTGATGGTGGTCGATTGGATAGTTTTTTGAAGTGGTCAGCCCATCGTTTCTTTTGTTTCTCCTCTTTGGTAACCGGGTTTCCTTCACTATCTTTCATTGGTTTCATCTGAGTTGATCTCTTTCCTCCCGAAGAGTAAGTAACCTGGTTATTTGATATAATGTTATCAGGTCTTTGTCTCTCCTACCTGCAGCCTGTTGTGCTTCACTTTTCAGTGTGTCGTAGAAGTGTCTTTTGTCTTTGGGTGCACTCTTCTTCACTTCTTTGTTCAGTGTAGTGTTTTATGTGTTATGATCAGTTCCTCTTTTCGTAGTTCATCCCTGCACTGCACTGATTCACCATCTTCCTCTCCCTGCTCTATCAGCTCCCATGTGGAGATCCGTCGAGATCCATTCCTTGTCTTGCCTTTTCTTCTTCCTTCCTAATACGGTTATGCAGGTTTGCTTCCACGTCTCTTTCACAGAGTTCCAGTGTTCTCCCATGTAGGTTTTCTCGAGGATGTTGCTCAATGTCTCTCATTTTGTCCTGATGACTGACTGGCGTGAGGATGTCCTTTTTAGTTTTGTTCTTAATTTCAGTTTCTGTTCTGGGTGGTGAACTTGAACTGTAGTCTATCATCAACTTTTTGTTCAAATGCTTTCAACTTGATTTTCAAGGGTAGGTTCCTTGCACTAGACAGTGAGTGATGTGAATCCACATCTGTTCCCCTTCTTGATCTTGTGTCTAGTAGGTTACGTCTCCACATTCTTCACATTGAGGTGGAGTCGATTTGATTTTTAGTGTAGTGTGTCCTGGTGTGGTGTCTGGTGAAATCCATGTCGCTGGCTTGCGAATATCCTTGTGTTTGTACACACTGTCTGACTCCAATCACCAAATCGTTGAATGTGCAGAAGTCTCCAAACAGTTCTCGATTCTCGTACATTTCACCGAGTGCCTCTCGACCCATGCATGATTGGTTCTCTTCTTGTGTTGTCCGCTCCCAGTTTGGCTGGCATTCATGTCACCTCACACATTAGAATTTTGATGTCACCATCGCCAACTGATGTGGGATGTTTGTGCGTTACTGATTGAAGTTGTCTATAGAATTCCTGCTCATTCTTCTCTCTGTCTGCATTATTTGTAGGTGCGTAGTGTAGCGTAGCATTCATTGTATGATTATGGCTTTCCTTCCTTTTGAGTTGAATCTTGTTGTCATGGTTTTGATCCTGCAGTAGGAGATTGGTTTCCACTGCATGAGAGCCTTTGATGCTGTTGGGGACATCATGATAGCCACTCGAAAACTCATTGTACTCGTGATTGTCGTCCGGGTGACAATATCGGAGTAGATTATTGACTCTCCAGTTGGCAGTTTGCAGAGTCCACTTCCACTCCATCTGCTTTTGTATATTCCTAGCACTTCTATTCTGTATCATATTTTCACGTTCCTTTTGCAATGTGGGTAGCTTTGCCAGGCAGCCAGCTTCAATCATTGTGCGGACATTCCATGTTCTTATGCTTACTTTTGTTTTCATCGAGAGAAGAGAAGGCACATCGATCAATTGGCTTCCCTATGGCTTTCATCAACCGAAGTCATTTCGTCTCTCCGCATTTAGTGAGGAATAAGTTTGTTTTGTGTTTTTTATATTTTCTTTATGCTTTGAAGTTTCTTTGACTATTGGATTAGTTTACTGGGGTAGGGTTGCTAGCCCTATTCCTAACCTTCCTTCTTTTTCCGGGCTTATTACCAGCTGGTAACTAGTGAACTTTCTCCCTGTGGAAGGCTGAGTAGAGTACTGCTGATTTTATTATACATCTTTATATATTACTCAAGACTAATTACAGTGCTGTTGACAAGATAGATAGATGTATCTTCTTGGCTGGTTGAAAAGGTTTGTCATTGTGGCTTTTAAGTTCCTTCTGACATGTTCAAATTGTATTGAATTGTAGAATCTCGTTTGAAGTAGTAGAAATAGCTTTTTAGCTTCGTGGTTTTCGTTATGATTTTCAATACTTTTAGCTCTGTTTCGAAGTTGCCGCAATGAAATGAAGTTTCGAAAAATACGCAAACCATATAAGAAGTATTAATAGTGATTATCAATAAATATTCGCAGCAATTACACAGTTCTAGCTGACTTCTTGTTTGTATTATTTTAATTTTTAATAACACCCAAACACTTGTTTTATTCAAAGTTTGAGCAACTCCAGACATACATTTATGGGGTAAAAATAAGAGAGAAATAGGGATGAAAAATAGGAGAAAACTGACAGATTGATAGAATGCCTACAAACATGGAGGGGTAGGTTACCAGAGTTCAGCAGTCAGATAAGATGTAACATATTCTCTTAGTGCCTAAAATTTAAACTAATATTCGTTACGTGTGAAGGGAATGAGTGGTTTTCTGTTGTATGGGGGTGTTTTAACTGGTTAGCTGATTGAGATTACTGTCGTTATCTTTTTATTCGAAAGGAAAGAGAAACTAAGATGGAGGAAAACAAATCAGTAGACAAAACAAAGCAGGGTTATATAATTAATAAACTTAGTCATATCTTGTTTCATAATGTGCAGAACTAAATGGAATATTACTTTGTGTTGGCTCTCCTCTATATCCATAACAACGAAAACGACAACACAGGCATATTAACACTAAAGATAAACAAATAAAGAATACGTTACCAAATTTACTGAAGAGGAAATGGAAGAGACAGAGGAGAAAGAAGGATTTTGTTCATTTATGTAAAGAAAGGATTCATGGGAAATTTGTGGATGATCTGACTTAGTTGTGTAAGTCCTTCATATCTGTATACAATCATATTCCTATAAGAAAGAGATGAGATTAGTCAGGTGGGAAGTAAGTTTGTACGAAAACAGTAGTATATTATTTTACAAAGCACATGATTATTCACCTCATTCCTCACAGTTTGTCGCTTTGTTATCTGATTGCTTCAGCTGTACAAGGCAAAAGATATCTGATAATACATATTCCTGATTTCATGCACGTGTTTGTGTTTATCAAAAGAAAGGTGACGAAAGTGACGAAGGAGTACAGTATCAATCTTTTTCTAGTTTGACTAAAAGGGGAAGAAAACACTGATGTCAGTGTATCAAACCACAACACCATGAAACAAGGAAAGCTTCAATAATTTCGAAACTAGAATCTTGTGTACTATCATCATATTGTGCACACGTATATGTGTCGTTAAGTTGGCTTACGGCTTTTGTTGTCCAGCCGCATTTTGGTGCTTAGTTTTCAAAGCTGCTGAGATAACCTTTTTCGCTGTTTTAAGTGCTCTCACTGCAACTACATTTGAATCACTTGGTTGAGATCGACCAGAGTTTTGAGCATTTCTTCCAGACTGGTTCGGTTGATTTGTATTTCCAGTTAGTAAATTGAAAAAGAAAAATGCCAAGCTGGCATTAACCAATAAAACGAAAACGATGACGAAATTATCACGAATCCAGTCCTATGAATAAGAGACAAATAAATGATAGTATTGAGGAAAGATATCTGAGCAGTTTAATTTTTCCGCAGATAAAATAAACTGATTCAAAAATCCACCTCTATATATAAGCAAATACTCAAGCTGCTAATTTGTCAAGTCTTATGACTTAAGATTCAGTGTCCTGTTGAATGAAGCGGGATCAATAAACTTCTAGGCTCCACCAAATCTTAGTAGCTATGGATACATCAAAACGTGAACCATACCTAAATTACTTAGTTGTATTCTAAACCTCTTCAGTGGAGTTTTTATTTGTACTTATATTTTGGGTATAAGTGCCTTACAGTAACTGATAGTATAAGGAGAATATTTCATTTCTGAATTAGTCCGTAGCCACACCAGTTATCTCAATGAACTATGCTCCTCAGTTTTACCCACTTGAACTATTATGCAGATTAGTCAGCTACCTATTTTGTCTTTCACATTTGAAAGTAGCCCTTCTATACAAACTATGTGGTGCATGTTTTTTCGCATACTTTGGTGGCTGCTTCTATTGTGACTTCAATTTACATTAGTACTACAATTGAATCATTTGTAGATAAGTTAATATCTTTTAGATAGTCTACGGTTGGCAGTCAAAGGCATATCAGTATCAATACATTTCATCCACCATTGACTTTCTTAATGCATGTGCTTAAATTCTTCAGTCATATTTGGTAATGATCACAAAACATTCTCTTTAATTAAGAAGATAGGATGATGACGCAACTTCACTCTGAAAAATACTCGGAATACAATTAGCTTATACACATACATATGCATTGATATTTGATTGTCATTTAGTTAGATACACATAAAACGCACTTTTCTGGAGTTCTTACCTTGATATCAGCTAAACGTATAACAATTTCACCTCGTTTTCGTCTTTCCATTTCATGATATAATTCTTGTCTTCTGGCTTGGCTTAAGCGTGCAACTTCTTCACGAGTCAGTTCTCCAGAAACAGGATGTAGTACTGCTCTACGCCTTGAAGGACTATCATACTGACTGGAAGTATGACTATGATTTATGGAAATATCTGGCATACTAGCTTCTTTTGAGGCACCAGGGAGGTGAATTATTGACTCAATACGATACGATTTAGGAAGAGGTAACAGATCTTCTGTTTCTGGATCATGGTGTTTGTTTGTTCCAAGCCGGGTAGCCGTGACAACTCCAGTGTTTTCCATTGCTGGTCTGTATGGATCATATGCCCTATTTTAAAATGTCATGGCAAATAAGAATCATGTCAAAGTGGTGTGTGATTAGTCAGTTAACTGAAGTGTTTCATAGTTATCATTATCAGTCTGTAACCTATGCAGATGTATAGACTGTACTATAACACTTCACTTTTCAAACTTGAACTGGTATTCTTTCTAGTGTTCAGTCTATTAGTGTAATAATGTGTCTAAAATTCAGTTCATAACAAATTGTATAATCTGATCATGTTTCTATGTTTGTTTCTTGCCTAATTAAGTTTATTTTTTTATGTAATGAATCTGTCGAAATAAAGGTTTTTATACTGGTTATGTTAGCCATGAATCTGCCGCTAATTGGCGAAGATTTTTCGTCATAGTTTGTTTCACTGCGAGGATAAACTCATGAAACACGCAGGACCCATTAAACCCACTTTATCATTTTAATGAAGCCTAAAAATTGTTAGATTCTTAGAACTAATTCAACTTCAACCTTTCAGTTGGCTAGACAGGATAATACTTAGTGCGAGGAAAACCAGCAGCATTTTGCACAAAAGACAGAAATTTCTAGCTTTACACAGAAACTCTAGCTATAAAATAACTGAGATAATTCAGAAAGTATAAGTCACTAAACGTAGAGAATTCGTGAGGACAAAATATAAATAATTGCTGTTTTATAGCTTACTATCAAATTTCCGAAGATGAATTTCGACAGATCGTTTGTTGCTGTGGCCCCAAAGTTATCCAGTTATCAATTGATGCACATTAAAATTCTAATTCTTGATGGAAGGCAGAAAACCGTATAGAGTTTCATTGATGAATGTACTTGTCAGTCAGAGACTCAACTGGTAAGTCACTCAGAACACTGGGGAATATTTTGTGATTTACGAGAAAATCTGAAAATTGCTCAGTAGCAAAACTGTCAAGATAAACTAGGGGCAGCGGTTCTCTTCACAATCTTTACTGAAGAGAAATCATCACATAAAGGTATGCGATAAAGTAAAAATGTACAGAACTTTTCTCTCGGTCTACACGCATGTGATAACAGGACCCTAGATTACTGTTTTATATAGTTGGTATATCACTTTCGCGTATGTCTTTCAAAATAGGTAGGTAGTATTCCCACTAAATTGAGCTACTCAGTTCCGCTTATTAATGAAAGCTTTTAAAATTAGATATTCAGTCATCAACTAAAGTTCGGTGGAATAGAAAGCAACCACCTGTAAGGTGCTGTAGAACGGAAATTTTCACGTAATTCTTGGAATTTTTGTTCTTATCTCGTCGTCATATGATATTTTGAGAACCGACCAAAGTTTGTGAACAGCTTAAATATTTTAATTTAGTTTTCGAAGTGAGTAAATGAAGCTATTCACAAATATTTTGTAAGCCGGTGGTTAGTGATTAAATGTAGTGTTTTCATTATTTATGTATTTTTGTTTGTCCCTTGGGGCTTCAGTAGCACGTCGCCATTTCACTCTAATCTCTAAAGTCTTTTTAACCTGGCTCCACGACTGCCCATTAGCTTTTATTTCTTCCTCTCACAATCTCCTCCATGTCACCTTAGCACTTCTACGGAGATCTTCAATTTCCGGTTAATTTTACTAATCTTTATTTGATTACATATCATCATGACGACATATGAGGGGTTTATTGTTGATTTTGTTTTTAAAGCTGACGTTGTTGTATCTTAATCTTAGCTATTATTGTTGTTTCTTCCCTCTAGCCAACAGTTTGTTGTGAGTAGCGTTATTCAGTGTGACAAGTTTAAACACTTTAATGGTAATAAATATAGCGCTGACAACCAAACCAATTTGTGATAGAATGAACTAGGTTTTTTTCCACCTACGATTAGATACCAAGATCATGAGCATAACAGTTGTGGATGTCAGCTGATTTGTTACACTCTGAAAGTAGCACAGGAGAGAGCAGGTTGGAACCATGAGTCAGCTAAGCGTTTTTCGAGAATACATTCACATACATATGTACACATTTCGGTTGGGTATTAACTAGAACGAAATCGACTTTCATAGGTTCCTGTCAATTTCCTTAAATTATTTGATTGCAGTGACAAATTTAATAATATTGTACGTTTCCGGGGCTGTTTTCGATAATCAGAAAACAACATAATATAAGGTAACTTACGTAGTCCATTCTGGTCTGCTTCCTTCCATATAATTGTTTTCTGATGCTTTTCGAGGTGACCCTGTTAGTCCTGTGGACGTTTTATTGCGTTGATTTTGTTGACGGTTGTTAGTTTCAGCCTGAACTCGTTTACGAATTCCATTCTCGATTATATAAGTGGCAGCAGCATCTGCTGGTAGGTTTTCGGCACTATGTACAGTCTGATCATCTATGACACAACGTAAATCGGGATTGTGAGTTGTTCCTTTTGTGGTTGCATTTCTTCGAGAATTCGGTAGTTGTGACCCCGGTTTAATGCAGGCATTCCTAGTGGTTTGAATAGGAGGTTCAGTCATTATAGATGGAAGGGTTCTTCTTCGAACCTTGTTCACTGAAGTCAGTGGTGTTTCAGGTGGTAAGACTGGTTCTTTTGGTAGTACAGTATCTTCTTCCCAATTTTCTATGATTGGTTCTTCATTGTTGAATACTCCATTTAAAGTAATTCCTATATTTTGAAAGTTACGGGTGTGATTTTCATCCACATAACCAACATCAGCACGATAAGTTGGACATGGTTGTACAAGTTGACTATTGTCTATTCGAATTTCAGTTGACCTATGAGCTCCTGTCTTCATAAGCTTTGCACTGTCAATCGTTGGAGAATGGAGAGATGCAGTTTCAGTCTGTCTGCTACGCGGACGTGGCACTGTGCCATATTCAAATCCGCGATTGGGATTGATCTGAGGTTCCATTTGAATGTCTAACTGTTGACTTGTTGAAGCCATTAGATAAGGAGAGTGAGGATGTTGAGCCATATGTTGAGCGAACTGTTGTTGTTCAGATGGGGAGTAACCTAAACCAGTAAATCCAGTTGTAGCAGCTCTAGCTATGGGTCTTCCAGCTGGACTTCTTTGCTGTCCAAATGCTGTGTTTTGCTGATCAATCTGCCCTCGATAGTCAATATCCATGTTAGCTTTATCGGTTCCATGAAATTCTTTTGAATAATATCTTTTCTGCAAAAAAGTCCAAATGGATTTTTTAATAAATGGTGTTTTTCTCTACAATAAAATGTATACCAAATTTTGTATATTTGAGTTAACAGTGAATTTTCTTTATGCCTGATTAAAATGTCCAGTTTATTTGTTGTTGTACTTCATAAACCTAACTTGAAAAAAACTTAATCCCATTAAAAAATGATAACTTTTATTTGTTAGGTACATTTAAGGATATACCTTATCCTAAAATTTGTGTAGAAATTTATTTTCAGAGAATTTAGAGGATACAAGCAAAGTGCATTTTGACGCACAATGTATGCTGCTGTGTTTCATATTTGAGTTTATGGGTATCTTTGAATCAATATACCTTAGTATTTGCCATTATATGACTTACATATTTTTTGTTTTCTAATTAACGAACGTTGTGGCAACTCTGACCGTTAAGCAGTGATGCCTGGTCCTATGTTGATAATGATGAATTAACGAACGTAGAGACTAGAAGAGGATACTGGTCAACTATCTTTATTTTCCACTTGGTTTGAAGAGAAACAATTACTGTTTTAGTAAATTCTGTGACAAGAAAAATATTATGGTGTGTGCAATATCCGAGTTTAATTCTCAAGTAAGGTAATGTTGTTAATTCTTTGCATATCGGTTTTCTTGTTGATGCACATGAACTGATCAGTGGATGCCAACTGATTTCATGTCTTGTTCTTTAGTGCTAAATTAATTTCACTGTTGTCAAAGTGTGTCATTATAATCCAGTTACTTAACTCGATAATGTGGTGAATTCGGTTTTTAGTTTGATGTTTTGACAGTTATTATATTCTAACTAACGATGAATACCAGAAAATTGTGTAGTTCACTTGTTTTCTGAATCCCGGCCTGTAGACAGTGATTTTTGTCTCAAATATTTCAGTAGTATCATCACCGAATGCATTGATGTAGATTTGTATCCCAAATGTTCTCCGATTTTTTTCCAGATCTCAGATGCACCCTAGTGAGGGATGTTGAAAAGTTTAAAACCAACCTGCAATGATTTTTATCAACTATCCTTAGGCGAATGGCATTTGAGCAGACAGCTTACATTCTGATAGTAGTGTTCTCATTTAGTTTCTTGAAGAAACTTATGTCACCATCACCTTGAGAGATGCACTATGTAGGCTTCACTATCATCATCAACTAAAGATATGTGATACAGATTTTCATTGAAGTGTAGGTGAAATATTATGCGGCGAATAACTTTAGAAATATAGAGACACCACATACAAAACATATTTTTACAAATGAAGGAAGACTACAAATTCTCTTTTTACTTAACTAGATCTCATCCTATTTTTAAAATACTACTAACGCTTAAAGTAAAATGAGAAATATATTTATCAAGATAGTGGAAAATAGTGGTGCTTTCGAAGTAAGTGCCGAACAAATGAGCGAATTGTGAAGAATTTTGTGAGATTTGTTTGTCCATATTGTAATTTTTGTTGAAATGTCGTTACATTAATTAAGCGAAACAAGCTGAAATCGTCTTCCACTTAAAAGAATATCCTTTTAATTTAATGAAGGTATTCATAAAATCTTGTATTTGTGTTTCCCAGTGATTGTAAAATTAAACAAGTTTGTATTCTGTTAATTTAACCGCCGTTTTTGTCACAACTGAAAATTACTAGAATAGCTGGGAAGTCAGAGAGAACCTGCAATAAATCTTTTGCTCTTCCCGGTGTCCAGTCTCATTGAAAGTAATGGAAGTTCAAGGGGATACTCATTACTTCAGCGGAGTTTTCTATTGACGAAAACAACACACGTGATATATGGTGCTATGTTCAGTTGATATATAAAAGGTCAAGAACTAATTGCGATTGCAAATTCAGATACTGATCTAGCTCAATGGCTTCTGGAACCATTCAGTAAGTAGGTACTGAATGGATAGCATTAGAAAATTTATCAGTGAAACAAGGTGTTCATTTAGTTCAAGTTGTAATATATTCTTCTGCCATATCCACTTGTGTGGAAAACTACCATTTTGTTAGCATCTGTCTATTTTATCACCGTAGAATTAAATAATATTTGGTTTCTCATGTACCTCTCGGAATAAGATTATGATTCTTGCAGTCTAGTTGCCTTATTAGTTAACCATTAATAACTTGGTGGAATATCTAAGAAAGTTTTAATTAGGCTATTCTTTAATTCTTTAATTGTATAATGAATACGATTTGAGTTGGAGGAAAATTAGAACCACGACAGAATTTGAAGCAGTAGTATCTAGATTGCACTTTACAACCTTTTCTCCTATCTAGTTCTTATTATGAAAACAAAATGCCTTGTGTACTCTGTCAGCCATGAAAGTTGAACTAATATCCAACATTTAGATCAGATGATTATCCTTTTAAATAATAGGCTGAAGTAGCGGTTTTACCGGATGTGTTTTACATAAGGTGCTAAAATGATTAGAGTGTTATTTTGTGATCAATTAGTGCAATATAGTTGGGTAAAATTTCAGTCTGTCTGACTCCTCCAGAGAAAAGCTAAAAGCTTGAGGTGGTTTTTATCCACCAAAATTTATTAATTTAATTCAGAATGTGCACAAAACCTTGGTTGACTTTATTTATCTACTTACTTCATTCACAATTGAAGGGGGTCATACGTTATTGAGATAAAAATAATTATATGCTCTCTGATTAGTTCTTTTATGTGTTTCGATTCCTTGCTTAAGTCCTTGCGCTGACTGGTGAGTTTTCTAGCTCTATTATGTAGATGTATGACTAACCTCACCTTAAGTGATATTAGATGAGATGATCTGAAGTCAAGATACCATTTAGAATGTGTCGGTTCCCTGTAGATGAAGTATCTAAAACACTGTTTTTCGCTTTATGTAGGGTTCTCAACAAGGTTGAAATTAGGGTGACATTTAAACCTGCAAACTCACTTCGAGATAAGACTTAACAGCTTAAGGATCCAATTGATCCAATTAAGCAAAATAATCTAATCTACCAAATTCATGCAGTGACTATGAGATCAAGTACGTAAGTCAGACTAGCTGGTCGAGGTCAGTCAGACTATCGGAACATAAAAGCTGAGCCAAATATAGAATGACAGACTCCAGTAAGATCAGTAATCTTTAAAAAAAAGCTCGGCTATTGTAATGCATGGATTAACACACAACCACACAAGAGGTTGGCATGAAACCATTGTACTTAAATCCAATACAATTAGGTAGACAGAGGGATCGATTATCAAACTTTGTTCATCGAATCATCACCCGATACATGTAATAGGAATGATGGAACACCTATGTCAGGGATATGGAAAATTTTACTGCCAATAGAAACAAATAATATGAGGTGATAGGACTATGGAAATGAGATGCCGAAAGTTGTGTCGCCATATTGACATTAGAGTTAGCAATAATTTATGCTGGAAACGCCATTAAATAAATGATACTGTATCCCTAAAGTACCATGTCAAAGAAACCAACCTAATATGAAAACTTACTTTTGAAAATTCATGGTAAATTTTATTGAAACCCAACAAATATAGGGTAAAATAAACAAATAATTGATTGATATTGATATACTGTTAGATAGCTATTTTGCAGCATAAAATAGAGTGAACACTTTGTGATTCATCGTATTTAAACAATCAGAAGCATGAAACTACTGTAATCTGCGTTAGCAAGTAGCATAATCATATGATAGACACTTGAATGCGGTTCGTTCAAACCAGCACTTCACATGGTATGGGGTCATATATTTGTGCACTATTTTTTTCTTATTAAGACCATATACTTTTGAAAGAGTACCCCTGAGTTTGGTTATGATGATTCTAAGGAGTTGTAAATCATCCAATCATATTATTAGCTGTTTCTGAAATTCTCTGTAATCTTACAAACACCGAAGTTACTATTAACGCATCTAAGGCCATTACATGTTTGCGTACTAAACTGTAAGGCACAACTATTGGGTGAAGGTTTCGAACACCACCTAGACGCCTAAACCGAAGTAGGTGGAGTGGGTTGTCAATCCGAAACTTATGGCTTGAAAGTTAAATGGATAAACGAATGAGCCGTATTACTACTGTACTACTACAGCAATGATGTATGCTGTCTGTTGGGAATGTGAAGGTATGGTCCGTTTGTTCGAATATTATAATAACAGCTATTCACTCTTGTGTTCATATATGCTGCATACATTTCGACTGTGATAGTTCACTAATCTCATTGATTTTACTTGTGACTACTTGGCATCCTGAAGAAAGTAGTTCACAGATATTATGGCTGACGTGAATCACACTAACCGTCTATGAAGAACAAGACAATCAATTCATTAACTCTGTCCTACATTCGCTGAGTAAGAATCAACAAATATTATGATACTAATAAATACATTAATTGAGGGATAAAACTTACTGAACCCACATTAGAATTAGGTGTTTGCATTTCATCTTGATACTTGAAATGATCATTTGAATACTGGTCATTTTGTTGCATTCCTGGTGCAGTATTTCCACGTCGACGAAAACTCGAACGGAAACTACCATGACGGCTTCCACCACTTACTTCTAAACTATTTCCTATTTGGACTGAATTATCAGGGCCAAGTATATTTTCCTTGATCATACCTTGTGTATGCAAAGTGTTAAGGTTTGTTTTTCTATTCCCAGTAGTCACATCCTCTTCACGGTTTGAACTGTATCCAAAATATCTTTTTTCATCAATGGATTTTGTTTTTCCCATTGGAGTCCTAATAAAAAGTGAAAATATTATGCTTATGCTCAGAAATAAGTAGTTTGGTGAGTGCTGAGGTAAACAACTTATAAATATAGTGTGTACTGACCTAGATGGAAAAGGAATATTTTTAATTGCCAAAATAGTTTTCGTTGTGACCTGCATAATACTCAATAAAATTTTCTTGAACTGTTCATACCATCCTGCAGTTCAAAATAGCCATAGAAAAACAACACAATCACGGGACAGCCATGTCAGTGGTCTACTGCTCACTGCAGCAACAGTTTAACCGGTTAAGCTCAGCTCACCTAGCTAGACTGAAATTAGTTAGGTGACTAGGAAGTACTAGAGTACTGCTAAATGAATTTCTAGTTTACAAACTACCCTTCTTTTACAATGTGTTGTACTACTTAAAGTTTCTTTTAATTGACACTTTCAACCATATTTATGATGTATTCTCATTTCACATTTAAATTATAATACTTAATTAGAAAAGTCTGTTAAATTTATGAAGAAGCCTTTCATATAGGTAAACTAGAAGAGTATCTGTATTTCGGGTTGTGGATATTAAGATAGAATAGTCCTCTGAAATAAAATTATTTTCGATAGTATTTTCAGTAAGATTTCAATTGGCATTTGTCGATGCTCCATTATCTGAATGCGTAGAAATTTGGAGTGTTTGAGATTTCAGCTGTCTTTATTAAGGCCAAACATAAAGTTCATTTTCAATATTGGAAAAAGTTGATATTCGAAGGTTGATTCTAAACGCAGTCGGTTTGATATTATTTAATTTCTTGACTGCTGTACTGGTTTTTTATCAAGTGAATTGAGCAAATTATATATATATATATATATATATATATATATATATATATATATATATATATATATATATATATATATATATATATATATATATATATATATATATGGAAGCCTAAGAGATTATGCTTCATCTTTCTTCACTGTCAATAAATAATTTACTGTCCTTAGAAAGAAATATTTCATAATCCTTGCTGGAATTTTTCTCAGTTATTTGAAAAGAAATAAATATCAGGGTTCCTTATTGGAATGCATAGGTAAGCACTAGAGGTTAATGCTAGTTTGGTTTCATAGCAAATTTTAAAACAGCTTATCAGTCTTATATTGGTCATATGGAAAAGTTAACCGTTATGCTAACAAGCGTTTTCAGTTTTCAAATGCCTTCTCCATTTCTTTGATTACGAGTTTGAAATCAGTGAATGCTTAATTTTTTCTTACACCATATATTTCGTATTTGAAAGCCAATTGTTATCTAATCTTGCTAGTACACTGATTGGTTACTGGAGGGTAACGAATAATAATAATAGAATTCTATTGATTATTTTGCAGTGTGGCCAACAGGCTAGGAGGCTCACCATCGCAGTACACTGAGGTAGATATCTGTTGAATAGAGGCAAGCCGCGGGAAGTCCTGGACCTGTGTTAAGTGCTTGTTGTCACTCGTCAACAAGGCGTATCTGCAACCTTAACGGAAATAGCGTTCTGCCTGAGACTTGGACTCGCGTCGCGGTTGTTGTAGTCAACCATACCGAATAGCTCAATGGTTACGTCTCTGACTGCAACAGTTGCTAACAATGGCTTCGTTTTCAGGCGGGACAACAGTTCTATCGAGGTACCAGATACGCCTAGCTGACGAGTGCCAAAAAGCACTAAATCTAGGTTCAGGGCTTCCTGCAGAATTCGTCCATCCAGCTAAAATCATGCAAGTTACCTGACACATTAGAAATTCGTTTGGTAGTCGTTATGTTTGCACAAATTGTTCTTTTTAACATCTTTAACCACATCCAGCTTTGCTTATTTAGTTATAGATTATATGATCTAGGCGTATTGTACGTTTGTCGACTAATGTTTAAAAAAGTGAATTCGAAGACTACTTTTTGTAATATAAATTCACAGCTTGCGTGTGCACATACTTCATTTGTGATATCACTGTTGTTTTACCAGTAATAAAAACTGAGATAGGAAACGTTTGCTTTGAATGTATATATTGCAAGGAGACTAATCAAATTGCTCCTGATTAACAAGCTATTGACACCCATTAATGACTCAGTCAGCATCATTATTCAGTTACTGATTCACAATGATCAATTTTAGCTGTTGATCGGATTTTTTAGTTTACTTCTAGTATATGAGTACTTAGTTATTAATTATTTCCCTTGAATCATTCGTTCTCAGTGAGAATTAGTAACATGATGATTTTCTGGCTTCAGTTAAGCCCCCTTTCTATACGGGAATCATGGAGTCTCCTGCAAAAAGTAGGATTTCATCCCATTTTGGAATTGGTTCCCAGGTCTTGTAGTCAATATCATTGAGTAGCACCGCTTACCAACAGTTGTCATTCCAGACGGGTGTAAATATTCATGACAAGCAAATTAATCTCTTGAACGATTTATTCTTCAGAATTTAACCATTATCCCAGATAAAGTTGTGAGGTAAGTTTTCGAAAAAATGAATTTCAAAATGTATTCACAAGTTGGAAAGCGAATAATATGAAGTTCGTTCACCTACTTCCAGATATACATTTTCATTTATTTGCACTGATCTTATGCTTTAATCTATTTTTGTGCATCAATTCTTCCACTACTTTATGTCCAGTACTATGACTGTCGGTCTACCGGTAATTTATGTATACTGCTTTCAATATATGAAAAGTATTTGAATATTTTTAAAAGTGCCTTGCCTTCAGCATCTCAGTTTTCTTAGTTTAGATCACTCCCATGATTGTTTGCATGTCTCTACACCTAAAAGGTTAAATTTAGCCTTTCAAACTACAAACTAGCTTGTGTAGGCAAGTGGGTGAAAAAAGAACACATGTAGCAGTATTGTACAGCTGATTTACGATTTTGTTGTACGTTAGTAGCCATAACGACAAGTATTTATTTACCGTTTAGAAATAAATTCATGAAAATGGCTTTTCAAATGACTGCTGAACTTCAAAAGACTTTAAATTCAAAGATTTATTCGATTATTTTCCAGCAAATAAAGTTATGCAATGACTAACGTAACGCCCTAAAAGAAATGTTTCTATGCCACAACAGTCAATGTTTTGAATGAATGAAAATCAGATCAAGTGAACGCTAAGTGTGAACGTTCATCAATAGTCTCTCCAGCATTGATCATACCGTACGGACAGTTGGGGAATCAGTTTTTAATTTGTAAATACATTAATGCATTTGCATACATTTAGTTTAGAGTAAGGTATCATCCTTAACTTGTAAGTTACAGTCATTTGTATGGAAGACAGGAGAACACAATAACAGAGTGTATGAAGCGTTATTAATGAAGTGATCCGAAATAAGGCCAACCAGAGTCTAAAACAATTAGTCAGTCAATAACATATAAGTTATGCTAATCCGATTACACTGATTTGAAAAATAATTTCTAATCACACTTTTTTTGCTTTAATCATCAGTAAAAGAAAGTTTCTTTCTCGTAAGAATAGTGGGTATTCTCCAACTGTTAGCTGTGTCCTGTTTCATCATTTCACTGAAGGGGAGGGGTATGGCATCAACGGTCCAGTTCTTGTGAGGAGTCATCACTTGATCTTGCTGTTAACTAGTTCAACCAGTGGATCCGTAATGTTTACCTCTATTCACTATAACAGTTATATGCAGCTAAGAAGTGACTAATAGTAATGTAGGAAAACGGCAATGGATGAAACGCAGAAGAATGTTTATTATGACACTTTGTACATTACTGATGAAATATTTTCACCTTTCCATTGAAATACTCATTTATACAATGTGTTTCATTCTCTCTTCTACTACTACTTCTTCTTCTTCTATCTCGTCTTGCTCTTCATACGCCCACGTTACCTTTTGCGTGTCTTTTTGCAAAATATTTACCCATCACTCTTAAGTGCTTATATCTGCTGACCTCAATATATGCTACTTATATTCCTTCTTGTCAGTAGCACCCACTACATTAGTACTATTAATATTGAAAATCGTAACCATCAAAGCTAACGAGATAAGCAGTTGAGATATATAAAACTAAATTACATAAAATATGGACAGGCCAAAATAGTAGTCTAGGTTATTATTGTTGACCAAGACTAGTTCGATTGCACTGGAAGTGCTTGTTTATATTTCCTTCAGATGCAAAGGACAGGTTTTCTTGATTTACTATTTACAAGTTTACTTCTTACTTACTCTGAATATCAACTGTTTCAAAACTGGAACATACTTAATTTTCGGCACATAGAAATAATAAAAAAAATGCTTTTTCGACATATTAATATCACAACTAATCTATTAGGAAACAAATAACAGGAAACTTACCTAATTGAACGAATTCTGGAGAGAATTCCCTTGCTATCGCTCTAGCCTCTTCGGACAGCTTACGAGCTTCTCGTGCACGTGCATCCGCTGTACCTGCAACTGTTCTTGCAGTTTGAGCTCTGATGGATTAGAAATAGTTGAGTAAAGGTGTATCAAAATAACGAAGTGAGTGTTGTATTTTATGTAATGGACAACATATTTCTGGTACTTTGTAAAATTAGTCAGAATTTTGAGTAGCAAAAGTTAATAGTTTACGGATTTTCTTTCGCAAAGCTTTGAATAACTGAATTCCATAGCAGATATACTTAACATACATGTAAATAATATATAAAGGAGAAAGTGGGATTCAGAGCATATATTCATACATATGTCATTGTTTAATTCATTCAATAGTGTGTGAATAGTCAGGTTTACTGTTTTCAGAAATTGTTTCTCGTAAGAATAGTCTCTAATACGAACCAATATTGATTTGAAAACACTGTGAACAATTCTCAACGCGAATTTCTGAGTCCTACTCTTTGCATAAAAATCGTGCTCATTCAGTCAACCATCGACTAAACTGAATTTGAGTTCATTTTGGCTTGGTAATCAGTTTTGAACAGAAGATTCAAAAAGGTTTTCGCAGAAATATTAATTTTCTTCTCGAGTAAATCAAAAACAAATAGATAAACGATTGTTGTTTTATGAGGTGATTCCACTATGTTATGAATCGACAAGTTACAAAATAGTCGCTGTTATGTCCTATAATTGTAAGTCATACTTGTAAAAATTGAGAGTCCTGACTTACAATCTATAGAACACTGAAGATGTGAAATACTCATGAGTTTCGTGCCAACACTTCTGATTTCGATCTGTCATCTGAAATGTCATCAAAATGTAGAATACAACATTGGTGCCTTAAGGTATGACTTTTGGTATCTTCACATTCTTGGCGGAAGTTACTTTGGTTGTTCCTGTTTGGCTTTACTAAAAGCAGTCGCTGGATGATGTTTATGACAGCTTGGAAGTGTATGGCCTCAAGTTAATATATAGTTAAACATAATTCATGAAGTTTCATGGTGAGAGTAGCCTTTGTACCTTGAACGTTTATGTCTGAGCCTTTTATTTTGAACTCTCTTGAGATGCAGCAGCACCCATTTAGGGTAGATGTAAATACATGTGGTTGAACATACTATGGGAGGGCTGAATGCAAGCATATAAAGCCAAGAGGAAGATGATGAGTCAATTTACGCATTATTAATTACTCGGTAAGCCCTGACCTCTTCTGCAAGAGAAAAATTCATTTTACTCGTTTATCAAATTTAGTGTTTTGATCAGTAGTGCAAAATCTGGACGAAATAATTGAACCTGGTAGAGAGAAGCACCGAAAAAATCAGTTAGATTAATTTAGTGCTCATTGGTGACTAGCTTTGAGAGGTGATTCCTGAAGTTCCAATAAAAAGTCGTGACCGGTGGGGACAACCAAGTCAAACATGAGGACTGTTACTCAACAACAGCATTGGATGTAGATCGCGCTGTATCGTGAATCGATACAAGTGGAAAATGTGGACCATGGGATTCCGACCCAGTGACTCAGTGGTAATGTGTTTACCACGGGACCTGTAGGTCCTGGGTTCCACTCTTGGTAGGGTGTTCATGGGTGCACACTACTGAGGAGTCCTATGCTAGGACGAAACAGCTGTCCAGTGCTCCCAGGTTTCCAATGTTTTGTTAACTGATGTTAGTCCATGATGAACACTAATTTGAAATAAACGAATAAATCCCCACAAAACATCACATTATTTTTTCAAAATTGTAATGACTTTGATCACTGGTGATTTCTCACCCAATTTCATATTTGAAAAAAGTGTTATGCATATTATTTTCTAAAAGGAATAAATTGTAGGTCATCATCGTTACCTTTGGTAGGCTGATTCGTAAGAACTTTCTTGAGCCTTCTTTGCTGCATCTTCAGCATTTTTTACTGCTTCTTCTATGGCATCTCGTAACTTTGTATGTCGAAGCATAAATAATTTGCTTTTCCTGTTTAAGGCTTGGACTAGTATGTTCTCTTTATACCTGCCTTCTTCCTTTGTACCGTCTGTACGATACGTAACTCCATACCCGTCTTTTTTATTATTAAACCATTCTCCAGCATAACGTAATCCATCAGAACGTTCAGCAACACCATATCCAGAACGTCTGTCTTCATTCCACTGACCACTATAAGTTTCGGTCACATTAGGTCCTAAGGGTTCATCCATAAGTTCTGGGAGTCCTTGACCACCATTTCCTAAACCCTTTACGTCACCTCGACCGAATGAGTTAGTCGTAATCTGACTTGAGGTGCTTATGTTTGACCGTAATGATCCCCCTGGACGACGTCCACGACTGTGGAATAGTCCACCGCCTCCACTTCCACAAGTTGAGAATGTCCCCACTGCCCTTCCTCCTACCATGGACAAATCACCTGTTGATTTCTGCTTTCGAAGTTTCCTAAAAATACCTCGCTTAAAGAGAGACTTTTTCTCCGTTGTTGGTGTGGCACTTCGATAACCTGATGAGCTACTTCTTGAAGTATTTGATTGCGATGATGGCAGAGGACAAGATGTGGAACGCAGGACAAATCCACTCCTTCTTTCATCGGGTCGTCCTCTCTCTGCGCTGTTTCTGACGTCTCCACCGCTTCCTCCTCCAGAACTGTTAGTGCCTCGCCAACCACGTTCCGAATCTGTTCCAGATGGCAAACTATTTTGTGACTGTGCTGCACGTACTGTACGATTAAATTCAGCTGCTAGGGCATAGGGAGCTGAACGCCGAACACCAAGTCCTTGACGCATACCTTTTGACCATGCTCCAGCATATATACCTGCAAGTAAAACCGTATATTTTGTAAACAGGATGGCTGCTGATCGTTGAGAAGGCATTGTTAGAACTATGATCAAGTGAAGGTAAATCTAATGCAAGGGTGTATAGGTAGTAATTATATCATGGTGTCATATTAGTTATCTACGTTCGTACGTGATTTCTGTTTCTTATCAGTCTGGATGCAAATAATATTTGATTTTGGCATCTTACATTAATCTTAATCTGCTCCTCACTTTTGATTCTTTTTGTTTTGTTACGCACAGGAAGCCTAAAATGTACATTAAGTCTACTTTCCACGCATTACACAGTTCAGTTTAGATAAATACACTAGAGTCATTCTGTCTCATCTGAAATGAATTAGTGTCTCTCGTTTGAAACTTGTTAACACTATACAACTGTTTGTAAATAAGAATTAGCCACGTTTTTCTCCTTTTACTGATATTCCAAATATAGAGTTGAATGTGTATGTATACCTTCAAAGAGTACTACATTTTTTAGAAGATCATCCACCTACAAATGAAATTTCTATAACCAGCTTCACTTGACCGAAAAAATATCGCTGGACTTATAGGAAACGTGTATGTTTATTCCTGAGGACACTTGGGATGTTTTAGTTTATCTCATCATTTTTCCTTGGACATGTTTCTTCAATACTCTAATTTCCTTTCCCTTTGCAGAAATGTATTTGTATACATTAATAGGAGTAATTGAAGTTCATGTGTATGGTATTATGAGTGTTACCTATGCACTGATACATGGAAACTAATCACATTCTTACTTCAGTAATAGTAACAATGGTTTGTTTCTGTACAAATCTGCCATAGAAATTTAGGGAAACATTTATCATATAACCTATCTAATTTCTTCTCTGTAACTATTAGCTAAATAACTTATTTTAAGGACATACATATATGTATATGTGTTGCGCAGAAAGGCACCAAGTCATAATCGTTTCGGTCGTTGTACATAAATATCCTGTGTGAACAAACACAGGCACACACAAGTTAAAATAAGTCTAAAGACAAAAAGAAGTTCAGTGAATATAAGTAACGAAAAAGTGATTGTTATATATATTTATTTCACCTGGTTTACTTTGTTTATTCCACAAAAAAACTAAGGTCGACTTTGTATAACCTTTTGTTAAATCAGGAAAAATTAATTTGCAACCTTATTTCATCTCAGTGAAATGCATCTTTGCTTTGATTATTCGCTAATTTTCTTCCATAGTTAACCAATTTACATTATTTCGATGCATTTACAATAAGTGTTTATTTAATTTTAACTATTAATGCATTGAACATTTGGGATAAGTACCTTAAAGAGGATACATTTCATAATATTCGAATTCACTTATTCATTTTGGAATAACTTTCATTGTATAATACTAATGGTAAGACTCTACGCTGCCGGTGATTTCTTCATTTTTAGTGCAGAAATATTGAAAGCTAGTCCAGGTTAAAATAACAGGCGATACAAATGGACAGAAATTAATATGAAATCTCTTTTTTCATCAGTGAATTATTGATTAACTCTCTGTTAAAAGTGTAGCGGAATTGAGATGACTAAAGAATTATACACGACAGACTGTATCTACAAATGTAATTAGGCACTAAATCTGCAGATTTGTTCTTTAAGTCTCCCACTTGTGAGAATTCAGGTTATAGCCATTTATTTGACTAGAATACTCCTTGTGAAAGATTCAAAGTTACCCCTACACTATACTGCCTTTCCCAATGTCTCTGGTTATAAACCATTGGTAAAATGTTTTCAGATACGTGAATCAGATTGCCAAAACTAATATACTTTAGTATGAAATACATAAATTCGCTTACATTGAAGGTTGTCACCCAATAGTTTTAGCACTCAGATTGTAACAGCTGTCACGAGTCCAAGCCAAGTCTACTCCTAGTCTGAATAGTTAATCACTTTCTTCATGCACTGAGAAATAGATATTTTAAAAATAATCAGAGGTTCCTATATGTGGTTTAGAGTAACAATTGCTTAAACTTTAGGAAATACTTTTCGCTGACAAAAGTTTTCGAGTAAACCATGGAGTATTAGTGAAGGCTTACACCATGCTAAATTCTTGATTGGAAAGACGGAAATCTGTATAAGAATGGATTGAGGAAATGCAAAAATTGAAATAACGTCATACCTAAATTTGAAAGTGATAAGTCTCGTAAAATGATTCATCACAAACTAAGAGTAAAAGTAAAATGTCATAATCCCTTTAAGTAAGTTAATATAAAATGGGATTGAAATGTTTCTCACAAACTGTTTCTCGTTCTCTGAGTTGGATGATTTATTAGTATTGTATTTCTGTTTAGTGATGTACTAACCATCAGGAAAAATCTGTAAGCAATGTGTGGTGCTGATCCTGCAGGCAACTGGCTACTTTCAGTAGCAGCCACGTATAACTTTACCTTAATTTACGGATATCTGCTTTTGTTGGCAGTATCCGACTGACTGAGGTGCTATTGGAAAGCTTGGTAGCTACCAATGTTTTGAGTGTTACGATTGTAAAATCCTCTCTTTTTACTTAGTGCTCACTTGTTCTAAGGTTTCCACATCCACTCTACCAGATTCGTACCCACAATTCTTTCCCTCCCCCAACCCTTTCTGTGTATATTGTTGAAAGAATGTGTATCTTTTGCACCAACATTCTTCAAAGAATGATATCAAAAACGTCTTCTGATAATTGGTGGGTTTCCCGCTTACCATCTATCATTGGTGGGAATATACGATTTTGGCACATACTTTAAATGCTTTTGCCATCTTTCCTCTCATTCCAGTTAAAGAAACATTGGAAACCTGGGAGCACTGGACAGCTGTTTCGTCCTAGCATAGGACTCCTCAGTAGTGTGCACCCATGAACACCCTACCAAGAGTGGAACCCAGGACCTACAGGTCCCGTGGTAAACACATTACCACTGAGTCACTGGGTCGGAATCCCATGGTCCACATTTTCCACTTGTATCGATTCACGATACAGCGCGATCTACATCCAATGCTGTTGTTGAGTAACAGTCCTCATGTTTGACTTGGTTGTCCCCACCGGTCACGACTTTTTATTGGAACTTCAGGAATCACCTCTCAAAGCTAGTCACCAGTGAGCACTAGAATAATTCAACACAAGCCACTGGATTCCGACCCAATGACTCAGTGGTAATGTGTTTACCACGGGACCTGTAGGTCCTGGGTTCCACTCTCGGTAGGGTGTTCATGGGTGCATACTACTGATGAGTCCTATGCTAGGACGAAACAGCTGTCCAGTGCTCCCAGGTTTCCAATGTTTCTTTAACTGATATTAGTCCGTGATGAATACCAATTTGAAATGAAAAAACCTCCACAAACCTCAAAATTGAATCTCTTTTTTGCATATTATAAAGCCTTGAAATTCCCAGCATGATAAGAGTTAAGTATGGTTCCATCTATAATCATATAATGCATTTGTATTGTTTTCCAACTGTAGTTAACCAAGTAGCAGGTGTTTGGAATGCAAAGAAGGTAACATGGGAGAAATCTACCTTCAAACCTTTGGTTGACAGCCTCGACTAAACAAAACGTTTATTTTGACTCTTCATCAGATTTGAGGAGGAGATCAAAAAGAATTGAGTCTGTCTCTAAATCAAATATATAAGCGAAACCTGCTGGCAGAAATTGAAATTCATAAAAAGCTGTCAGAAGTGAATCAGTTTCATTCTCTTTAGTAGTAGAAGAGGTAAAAATTGACTAGTATATTATGAAGTGAATAATTGTTTAGAAAATTGTCATCGGAAATATTCAGGCAATTTTAAAAGATACTGGTCATCTGTTTACTCATTGCTGCACAAACGATACTTTTTAACCGATATATGAGTACCCGAAAATATTTAGGCACACTGTTGGTAAAGAAAGCAAACCTTATTACATTTATAAAACATCTCCGTAATTTGGGAAATGAAAATAAATCTTTATAAAAATTAAGTATCGTAAATTTTAGTAGTCCCGTGAAAGCAAAAGTATGAAATAAAATGACGTCTTATTTTGCAGATCGTATTTTCATGGGATTATTCAAGTTTAGTTATGAAGCTTACTGAATGAAATCCAAATAGAATTGACAAATAGTGTTTTTCAGCTAATTAACTCATATACGTGAAGAATTACCATACCGCATACAGTTTTGTTATTTGGGAAAACATGAATTTATTGAGCTATATGATATTCAGACGTTCAACAATATCATCACAAGTCGAGTGAATATTCTTACTATGGAACGAGAAAATTCAGTCGTTTAGCTTGTCATTGTCATACGTGTTTTCGAATTAAGTAGATTTCTGTGTAGTCGGCATACTGAACATACATTTACTTCCCAGAAAAAAGTATGTGTATACTCATCATTGTAGAGACTAATTTCAAAAAGTTTTTATCGAGAATTACTACCGTTTGTGGGCTGTTCATCACCTAAATAAATCTATTGTTAGGTGAGACAGTGGTACATCATAGGTCTGCTGCGCCGAGTTACATGATTGAGTTAAAATAATTCGTCAAGGGAGTTATACCAGTAGGTTGAAATCAGGTTAGATCAAGATTTTTTTAAAAGGTTTATATGTTTACCGACAAAACAGATCGTTTTTAAATCAGTTGCTGTCCGATGACTAGTCACTTTATTTATTTTTAATTTAAAAGCAGCGATTCGGTGTCAAAAAAAGGAACATTAACACTAGTGACTTTGTGCTTAAAAATCATATATTCATATCACCGATGAGTGTGTTCAGTTATTGTGCTTTCACTAAGCCCCTCCTCAAAACTTTGACCTATCATCCATTACTGAGTAAATCAGATTTTCCGACACATCTTGTTGGTTGAAACATCACTTGTGAATTTTATGTAAGTATATATATATATATATATATATATATATATATATATATATCAGCCATAAGGCTTAAGGAAGTAAAACTAATATGCAAAATCAGTTCGTACCAACAGTTGCTTTCGTTCACGTTTTAGTCTCTGACT